TCTCTCTCTCTCTCTCTCTCTCTCTCTCTCGTCTTTTTTGTGCTACAAATCAAATGTATCTCCAAATGAGTCGTTACTAATTGGGACTCATATTCTCATTAAGAATATTATTATTTGTTTTTTGGCCGTTTCTTTGAAACAACAAAAACAAACCAAATCTAAGCCTTAATTCTTGAGTTTATTTTTCAAAATAACTACTAATTAATAAACAAACAATTTGTTTATCAATTGATTGAAAGAAATTTTATCGCAAAATTTAAGTGAATTCTCGTTTAATGCATTTGTTTTATTGCTTTTGGTTCAGGAATTTGCAATTTTTATTGACTTTAATCCCGTTTTTAGTACCGATCTGTCAATCATATCATAAGTTGTCGGCAATTAGGATGTAATTAATCGTCGGATCAATAAATCGCTTAATTTATAAACAATTTTAATTTTCTATATAAATCTGGATTAAATTTTTTGCGTCAAAAACAACAATTTTTATCTAAATTGTATTCATAAGAAAATATATTAAATATTTTTCAAACTAATTATCAAAAATTTTGATTTTATAGTTGTCTTGAATAGAAATAATTCAAATGTTTTATACTTTCTGTAACTAATAATAGAAATTAATCTCAAAATTATTTTTATTTCAAATTTATATCAATTTAAAGCTTAAAATACATTATCTGTTATCTAATTAATGTGTTTGCAATGCTTTGAATACAAAATTGTTAAAAACCTATTTTAAAATTTTGTTAAAATTTACACAAAATTATATTTTCTACAAATACTACATATTATTTAATTATAAATTCATTATAAAATACAATCAATTAATTCAATATATAATTAACTCGAGTAACAATAATCTCAATCATAATATAGTTCAAAATTTAAATAAATATATTTACAAATTCTACAAAATCGATGATTAAATCCATAAATAAATACACAATAATAGAGTGCAAAACATAAGCGTATAATAAGTATAACAACAGAATTTAAGCGAATATATTATGATTATTCTGGAGGCAAAAACAGCCGCAACCGGTGGGGCACTGGTCAGACTCGGCGAACCAGTTGTACATATGAACGGTGTGTCCGCCGTGACCGCACACCACACAGTGGTTGACAGCGCCGCGCACTGGCATACGACAGATCGCGCACTTGAGGGTCGGTGTCTTGCAGTGTCCGCAATACGGCCCGCGACACGTGTTGTACCGCTTCTCGCAGTACGGGTTCTGGCATTCGGTCACAAAATCGATGCCCACGTGAAACAGTTGGCTCTGATTGACGGTCAGACAGCTCTTCAGAATGAGTGCCCGCTTTTCCATCAGTTGCCACCGATAGAGGATATCGGCGTAGATTTGTTTATAGCAGTCGTACTGGAACTGCAGCTTCGGCTCCAACATCCTGTTCACCACCGAAGCAGACAATGTGTTCATTAGGTATTAGATTCACATTAAATTTACTACATTTGAACGCATACTTAGTGTTGTTTTCGTGGGCCTCGAGCTCTAACTGTTGGGCAAAGTTGTCGTTATGATTGTTGTTAGCGCTGTTGACCAGACCCGAGATGAGGGCCTCGTTTTCGGCAAAATCGGACCAACTGTTAGACCGCGTCCTCTTCAGGCTCTCCACCGCTGAGACTAAACCATAGAAAGTAATGAACAATTAAATAATGTACTGATGTTTAAAATTAATTTTTATCCATTACTGAGACTCCAATCGCCGTACGTTTCGGGAGTGTTTGGCGCCTGTATTGTGGAACAGACGGTATGATAGGGAGAACTTCCCGGCTGTTTGCCAGTGGGAAACACATATCAATTAGTAATTTCATCAAAAATTGTTTAAAATTACTAAATAATTAAAAATAAGAAAAAATAATAATAAACCAAAAGTTAGGAATGGGTTTGTGAACAGAAAAACATAACCAAATCTAATGTCAGAACAAATACATGTCAAACAGTATATCATTTACCGGTATTTGTAAACTATTCCATACCTTCAATAGTCTTAAGGAAACGTAAAGCTATAGAAATGATGTGATTATGAAATACAGAGATATTGAAAAGAGAAGAGATTAGAAAAATAGCGATTAATTTAAATACATGTTAAATATAACACAATAAATAGGCGTCAAGTGTTTGAAAGCAAAACACAGTCTGTGGACAGACTTCACAAATAGTGAGATAAAAATATATGTCGTAAGAAAATTATGAACAAATATTAACCGAATTATTGGCGATTCCGGGCTGCGATTGTTTGGGCGGTAACTTTGATTTGGTATCTGTCGTATGGAAAGTGCAGGCAATCATTGCCGCCGTCTGAATGTCATTGCATTTGAGAACCGAGTGATCAATGCTATCAATAAAAACAAAATATCAATTAAAATTACTGACAAAATCATTGGCCATCCGGACAAACAACACGTATGAATGTGTGCCAACCCGTGCGGTCATCACTCACAGCGATTGAACCATCTTTTTGCCGAACGGATGCAAAGCCCACGGCGTGTCCATTATGTTAGCGCTGTTCAGACTCTTCAGATAGATCTCTGCGCTCAGCTTCAAGAGGTTCCACGTCTGACACAAGTCCCGGCGGCCGAAAGTGTTGGCCACTTTGGCGTTGGTCTCACACATGGCAACGATGTCACCCCCATTGGCCTTCACCGCGTAATTCTCCGCCAAAACACGGCTGATGGGCAACAGACCGGCCGCCGAGAAGACAAACACTGGGCCGCAGTTACTGCTGCTGTGTTTGTTGGCCACCGATTTGGGATCCGTTTGCGAGCGTTTCGATCGACTTTTGGTGCGCTTATGTCGAGAGGAGTCAAAATAAAAGGACGAAATCGACGGCACGAGTGGACTCGTAATCTGATTGGTCTGAGCGGCGCTCTGTCTGTGAAGTGCGGACAGGAATGAGTCCAAAGCGCTCAGCGATCGGGGCGTGTATTCGGTCGGAGCGTTCATTTGTTCCAAATGTGGCGGACGTCCGAAACACACCAATAGCTATACAAACAGATAATAACATCAATTAAACAATGGTTAAGCATTTGAACGGCACAATCACTGGTCAGACCTCTCCGGAACAGAAACGCGCGCCAGAAGTGCGCGGAAAGGGTACCGAAGCGTCCAAATAGCCGCCGTAATGACGGCTGGGTATTAGCCCAGAGATCGGTTCCAGTCGTGTGGCGTACAATAGGGCCGGCGATGAGCCCGTCAGCCGTTCCAGTGTTGTAATGAACTGCCGAAGACACGCTTCCAGACACATACGATTGCGTTTCACCTGAAGGTAAGCTGTGGTGTGAAGTACTTTCAACAGATCCCGTTTGACGTCATCGGACGGCGCCGTAGCGCTGGTCAGGAACGAGAAGTGCGGCGCCGAGTGATTGGGATAATCGGCGGGGAATAACATCTTCAGCCGACACGACACGGAAGTGGTGGCCGTTATAATGCAGACCCGTTTCGTGGCATTCAATTCCTCGATCTGGACGTTAGGTATATTGACGTTCAGTTGTGCGAACTCTTGCGTCAAACTATTGACAGGCGTTTCGGGTGTTTGCGGTTTCTTCGCGGTGTCCGCCGCTGACGATAACACATGATAACCGGCCGCCGCTCTCTTAAACTGATCCGACGGACTCTTGTTATACGTTGGGCTAATGTCCAACGTATTTGGCCGCCGGAGCCGCGCGGCCGCCGCTGCGCTCAACTCGGTATCGTTGGCCGAGTCGGTAGAGCTCTGGTTATCGTTGATGTCGTCGGCGCTGAACTCGCAGTTGTCCTCATTCTGAAGGGTCAGTATCTGTGAGTCCACTTTCCACACCCGAAGACTGTTGTCTTTAGACCATGTGATCAGATCGTAATCGTTGCCATTCCGGTTATGCCAACCGAAGTCCAGCACCACATCCAAGTGGCCGACAAACGAGTGCAACGGCTGATCGAAACAGTCCATAGACCACATCCAGAGGGAGTTGTTTTCGCCCGTTCGGCGAAGTTGTGGCACTAATGCGGTGATCAGTCCGTTGCCAAAAGGCTGTCGCAAAAGAGACCACAAATCAATTCACAATAAAATTTCTTTGCATTTACACATACCGTAAACCTGGCCCTCCAGACGGGCAGACCAGTGGTCAGTATGATATCGGGTTTACCTTTAAATGTCGTCAAATCCCAGAACTAAATACAAATGTTCAATAAAAGTCATTATAAGTATCGATTAGCCAACAGATAGGCTGAGAGATGATGACTGACCCGAACGGTGCCGTCTTGGCTACAAGTGGCGAACTGTGAGCCGATGTTGGGATTCCAGTCGAGACCATTGATTTTGGACAAATGGGCGGTAATATAGTGGACGGGAATGTTATTCTTGCGCCGATCCCACACCCGGACGTCGCCCTCATGACTGGTGGCCAGAGTGTGTTCGCTCGCACGCGACCACTTCACTTGCGTAGCGCCCGCCACAGAACTCATCGACAACTGCGGCCGCCGGCCGTCCCTCACGTCCCAGATATGCATATTGTTGTCATAGGAAGCGGTGGCCAACGCGTGGGCGTCGCTGTACGACCAGTTCAGGTCAGTGATGGTACGCGTGTGGCCCCGAAGGGTCTGCAATTGGGTCCCATTAAGTCCGTTGCGTCCGACGCTCGAGTCCACGGCCGGCTTCATTGGAACTGATAGAGTGATCATAGAGTGTAATCATATGAAATGTCTTAAGCAAACACTGGTTTCGCGAACCCTTTCTGGTGTTGGCGTCGATGTTATAGATCTGAACGGTCTGTGCGTTAGTGACGGCCAACAGATTGTTGTCCAACGGATTAAATTCGGTGGCCTTTGCGTCCCATTTGGTCTCCCGTTTGATCCAATGGTCGATCACTTCGGGTGTATCGCAATTGATGAGAGATATGGACCGCCGGGAGGACAGAGCGCACCAGCCGTCGCCGCTGATGGCCAGACACACCGCCTGTTTGTGGTCAACAGAGTCATGAGAGTGTAATGACAATGGGATCAAGTGATTGGTGACAATCAAAGACCGGCTCACCTGTAAGTCCTTATACTCTGCGATCAGCTGTGATGTGGACCAACGCGAGGCCATTATCATCGGTCCGATGGCTATATGTGTCTAATTCGGTGTCTCTAATGTGATGTCACATTCATCTGATCCAGAGATCGATCGATGGATCAAATGAGTGATGATTGAAGACATTGACTGCAGAACTCATTTCACTTACTATTGAGTGCTTTTGTTGTGAAAAATATAAACAAAACTTTCAATTCATTCATAAAATACGTGAAATTGTTTGAAAACTTTGAGTTTAAGTTTTAATTAAGTTTTAATTAAGTTTTAACTGATTTATAAATTGTATTATTTTATTGATTAACAATTATAATTAAATGAAACGAGTTTACAATAAGATAGTATAGTATTTGTTAACATTTGTAATGATTTGTAATTAAATTTAATGTCGGAAAATATAATTAAAAACTAACTAATGATTTAAGATTTATAAAAATAACAATTTGTCGCTTAAATGTTTTGATTAAAAATTAACTAATAATTAAGATTTGTTTTTATAAAAAATAATAATAACTTAATTGTTTGTCATTTAAATAATTTTGGTTTAAAATCAACGATAAAAATGTCATAATTTGTAATAATTAAATAAAAAATGATTGAAAATTAATAAATGTTTAAAAAAATATTTAAATTGTTTCCAAAAGTTAGCACAAAGTCTTGTAGTAGAAGAAGGGGTCAAAGATTGATGACGAGACCGGAAATGACGGTTTCGGCGACAATCCTCTGTCCATTGGATACACGGATCCGATCGATGATTGAATGGGCGATTGAGTCGACATTAGGACAACCGGTGCCGTCATCGGCGGTGAAGAGCTTTGAAATATTTTATCCATAAATTTACTGCGGTTTAGGTTTGGATCAAACTTTGTTGAGTTCCGCAACTGATAGGCCTGTAGTACTTTGTCGCCAATCGCCTCCTTCGCCGCCAATACGTTCACCTAATGTACAGACAATCACTTGTTTTAACAGTTAATCAAACAATTTTTTAAAAATTCAAACGCAAACAAAATATCTAATAGTTTTGATGAGAGAAAAAAGTTTTCAAAACTCTAAACACTGGAGTCTAGACACGGATGCAATCAAATACTGTATTTCATTCAAAATGTATTACTCGAGTGCCGGTGACTTCAAAGGCCGGCGCCGCCGCATCACTCTTGGGTGTATTGATGCGAGTGTTGGTCTGCTCTTTGATTGTCTTGATAACGGATCCGTTTCTGCCGACCACTGCGCCCACGTATGGCTGCGGAACCGTTACAGAAATGGTCACTTCGCCGACGGCACACACGTTGGACCGGCCGTCCATCAGATACGAGAAGTGTTGCGACGCCTTCTCGATGGCGTTGACGGCCATACGGACGCTGTCGGGCCGTCCGGTCACCACAAACGCCGGGTCGTCGCCTCTATAGGGAGTTTTGATGCATGTATTGGTCTCCGCTCTCAAGTACTTGATCTTTGAGCCACTCCTGCCTTCAATGCGAACAATTAGACCACAATTATATACAATCAGTTCGTGAAAGGTATGACATTTAGTTTTGATTAGTTAATTGTAGTAATAATTAAAACAATAAAATAATTAAAAGTTATGCAAAATGATTGATTTGTATGAAATGATAAATGAGTTTAAAGTGATGAAACAACGACTACTAACCGACAATCTGTGCCACGTGCTCAACACTGGGCACTCTCACCACTTCGGTCACCAGTGGCTGACTGTCCATCGATGTCATTGTGTGGACCAGTCCTATGGTCTGCGGGAAAAGGTTTGCGCCGACGGTCACAGACATCACAAGTTGAGTACTGCAGACAATGTATTGAATGTAACGTTAAGCCTATGAAAGAGTGAGTGAATGAAAGCACGACTCACTTGTCTATTGGAGTTGTTTTACAATTGAGTCTCAAAACTGAAATGATTGTCAAATTGAATGCAAAACTTGATTGAAAAACTCAACTTTTGAATGTGGAAAGCATTGTAAAGCTTTCAATGAATGTTCAATGATTTTGCAATGTGTGTGCAATGAAATGATGGTCAGTTTGTCAGTCGTATTGAAGTACGTGTAAATTTATATTTTGCATACAATAAAGTTTACAACATTTTTCTATTCAAATATTTTGAGTTAATTTAAATACAACAATCATTTGACGTAAAGTCATCATTAAATACAACACTAAATACTTTTAATACACTTATTAGACTTGCGTTATGTAGTTTTGCATTAATTCATTGCATTAAACTTAATAAACATATTTACAAATCAGTCATTAATATCCAATCCAATGGTTAATCTGATATAAATCTAAACAACAATTATTCAAAAAACTTTTTTATTAAAAAATGAGATTAAAAATAGTTTCAAACAATAAAAACAATTGTTTGCTTTAAAGACTAAAATTGAATAAACATTTTGTCACCAAAAATGGCGAAAAGACCTCCGATAGCACCTAAACCCCTATACCGGCCATTCATTGAGCACTCGGTGCGCCCGGAATACAAGGCATACTTGCGTAAAGTGACCGCCGGTTCGGCCACCGATCAGGACATACCGCACGCGCCGTATGGTCTCCAATACGGACCCGACCCTCAAGACTGGGACCCAAAGACAGGCAAATTCGCGGTCACAGCCAAACAGAAAGCGTTGCCAATCCAGGGACCGGCCAATTGGTCACAGATATGGACCGATTACTCCGAGGTCGGCACCGACCACACACTCCCAGTGCCCGAACACATGCCTCTTCTGCCACACGAACTCAAATATTTGGAAAAATCGGGCGAATCCTTGCGAGACATCCAATTTAAGCGAGTATTAGGAGAGGGATCCTTTGGGAAGGTGTGGGCCGTGTCGGCCACGAAGGCCGGCGACAGGAATGGGCCGCAGCGGCGTTTGCGGCTGGCCTGTAAGGTCATATCGCTGGACCCGTCGGGTGACCTCCTGTCCGACGTGCAGATGATGTTGGAAGACATGCATCAGTTGTCACACCTGAATGACCCGCATATTGTCAACTATGTGGACACCATCACAGTTCCCGACCGAAGCACAGGTTTCCCATTCGCGCGAACACTCATATTCATGGAGTTATGTGACGGCGATTTGGATCGGCTTATGAAAGACAGTCCGCGCGGTCTTCACGAGACTATATGCGTGCAATGGTTGCGACAAATCGCCCGCGCGCTCCGGTATCTGCACGGCCAGCGTGTCGTCCATCTGGACATCAAACCGGCAAATATTCTCTACCAAACGGCCAAAACGTGGTCCGCCGTGACCTACAAGTTGGGTGACTTCGGTCTGGCCGTCGGGTGCGCTCAGCGGCCGCTGGTTTGTCGGTCAGAGGGGAGGGGAACGCCTGACTTCGTCGCCCCAGAGATGGATGCGGCCAGCGGTAGACCTGTTATGGCCGAGCCGTGCGATGTCTACTCTCTGGGCATGTCTTTGGCCAATACTCTGATCGGAACCAATACTTTCAATGACTGGAACGTCCGCTCGATCTTCACTACATTATCATATGGAGAGCAGATTCCGGCCAATGGACCACCACTTGAGCCAATCACCCAATATATGGCACTTCTCGTCTATTATATGATAGAAAGGGATCCCAGAAGTAGAGTATCTGTGGATCAGATCCTCGAATACATCAAACGTTAAATCAAATTGATTTTAGTTAATATTTTAGACAACTATTAAAGTGTATATCTGTTCACAAATGATCACCACAATAAATCATTAAATAAATGTATAAACTATTTAAGAATTTTTAAAATAGATTTTATCATAGTCTCATTTATCAAAATATAAACACAAATACTGTATATTGAATATTTTATTATATTAATTAATAAATTACAATAAAATAATATTAATATTACAATACAATAAATAAAATTACTTTAGACTAAAAAACTAGTAAAATATTTTAAGTATATATTTTAAAAGTTGATTAAATTAATTATAAAAATGTAGACTTTCATTGATTTCAATTGTTTGGAAAACTTCTGGAAAATGCGTCCAATGTTTGGACGTTTAGATCACTATTTTTAAAACAAGGATCACACAGCGATGCTATACGTTAACCACAAT